ATTCACCTGAATACCTCAGAGGCCTTGATCTGCAGCCATCTGTTATGTGTGCAAAACTGGCTCCTAGTCTATTCCATCTGGAAAACCTCCCCTTTGACAAAGAGTGTCGGAGAACTCGGGTAAATTAGTGACTAAGTGGAAATGTTAAGTTTGAGCTTTCACTGTTTGGGGCAGGTTTTGATAAGACAATCGCCTTGGATCCCTTAGTTCACCTGGCCAGCAGAGACATGATCTCACAGTGCTACTAACCCTTTTTACCAGCTCAGCTCTTTTAAAGCAACTTAAAGTCATGGCTTGATTGCTGTTGGCACACTTGGGGTAGGCCTTGGCTGATAGTGAGATGTAGAACATATAATTGTTTGATTTGAATCTAAATCTATGTTTCTGCAGCTATGTGTCCTAAGCAAGACCCTTGTCAGAGCCTTTTTGACTTGTCTTTTAGGGTATCTAGTCCACCAGCTGTCCACCTTGACAAAGTACAGATTCCAGCAGACTATTCAAGAGTATGAGATTGTCTCATCTCTCTCACTGATTTGGATCACTCTAGCCATGGTCCATTTTTTAACCATCCCACAGCTGTTGTTCTAAAACCAGAGTTGCTTTGGTTTGACTCAAGGTAGCATTGCATCTTGGGATAAAGGGAAATAGAATTATCAGTGTCACCGAGAGGACCCTATCATTTCTATTGTACTTTTATACTTAATAAAAGGCACATTTATTACAAAAAAGCCTGTCTCAAATTCTGTCATTTGTTACTGATTATTGCTCTTATAAAGGATTATGTATTTTCAAATTTATTTAATGTAAACTCTTTTAATCAGGTCTTTATTAACATTCATATAGGGACTAAATAAGAATATTGTAAAGAAAGCATTGCTGAAAAGTTCATGCGATAGCTGTAAATATAAACCAAATGTAAAAAGTATCTAAGAAAATTGCCTTGTTTTAGAACCCCAACTCTTACTAAAATAGATAAGCTAATTCCAATTATTTTCTCTATTGATTTGAGTGCACTCTTGGGAATTTCATTAAGCCACATCTTGTTGGCTGAAATTAAGTCATGCAAATAATAAAAAAATGCACTGCCTTTTAAAAAATAACATATAATTAAAATAGTCACTAATTCAAACTGATCTTTTTTTATAACTGGTCTGAATTAGTGAGGCTTTTATAGAATTACTAGCCACCATCAATTTAATATGAAATGATGTAAAATTACTTTACAGAGTCCTTTAGTAATAACCATAGTTAAGAATATCAGACCAATAAGAAAGAAAATTTTGATTAGGGCGTTCACATTCTTCTCCTCCAGTATATGATGGGATCTCTGATTTTCTTTTTCTTTTTTCTTTTTTCTTAATTGATGACTTGTTGCTCTGCCTTTTTTTTTTTTTTTTTTGTCATTGAGGAAAATAAAACATAGACAAATACTTAACTCAAATGCAGCTTTAAAACTGAATAAGGTAGCAACCTATAATAAAATCTGAGCATACTCACTACTCTCTAGAAGAAGAATCAGGTTTCAGGCTTTAGCTTTGTGCTTGTATTTTGACTTTGGAATAATCATGCTCACTGAGACTGAGCACTGATGCTAGGTAGACTATGGACTGATGGGAAAACTTAATGAGTTACTATTTTTTTTTCTAATAGTTCTAGCCATATACTTGTTTTCCTTCCCAGATGCAATGTGATATACAGGATTTCCTATTGTATAACTGGTGGGTGAATTCTTAAATCATAATACTGTTTGTGGCACTCTACCGGGTAGATATACAAGTAATGTCTCCACACGGCCAGTGTTCTTTCCCTAGCTATCTACAGAGGCTGCAACTCTATGACAAGATGTCTTTTTTTTTCAAGAAATAGATTCACTAGGAAGGTAACTAGATATTGAAATATGGCAAATATTACAAAGGATTTTTAAATCCCTCTGGTGTCAAATCTTCATCGTTCAGTGGGTAAAGAGATCCCCAAGGATGCGTGAGATGAGTAGAAGTGGTAAGATTTCTCATGTGCACTGGCCCCAGGTGTCTCCTAAGAACATGCATGCTCTTTGCAACCTGTGAGAAGGTAACACGCAGATGCTTATGCAGTGCCAATTCAGAGTTACAAAGGCAGTAACAACAAATCACTGTCAATGCGGGTCAGGTTCCGGCTCAAAAGTTACTATTTAACTTTCAGTTTCCTTTGAGATTTGGTGATATCCCCCTCTGTCATTCAGATGGTCCTCACTGAAGTGGAAACACTGAAAGAATGGTGAGCAAAAGTCCTTAAACAATTGTCTCAGCTCTGAGTTCCCACTGGAGTTCCTGTAAGTGCCTGGAGTGTGGCCTCCGGGACACACATTAGGTATTATCCACCGAGAAAGCACTGGCCCCTATCATTCAGGATATGGAAATTGCTGCTGCTGTAACTAACCAGTATATGCACTTAGTTTTAAATAGGGTGTGGTTTACAAGAATTTTAATTTATGGCCATGGACATTACCCACTTCAGGTCTAATTTCAGCTGGAACAGTTATTTGACAAGGCATTCATGTGGCTAAGAACCTCTGCCTCTTTTATTTAAGCTGCTGATAGATTTAGCTGTTCCCTTTTTGAAGATTTGCACATTTCCTGGCTTACTTGGAACTGGTACCATGTGGGATCAAAGACAACTGGAGACCCTGTATTAATTCTAATAAATGTTAAAACAAAAGTTAAGCTCCATTGTCTGGTTCCTGTTGTAACTGGAAAGAATGGCTCATTCACAAGAAGAAAATGAATAAAAAATTAGGAACACTGTGCCTTATCTATTCCAAATGTGGACATAGATATCTGGTTTGTTTTTCTCTCACTATATCACACCACAAAAAAAGTCCCATTTGGCAACGACCCTGGAGCCTTCATCTGGGTATTCTGCTCTCGGGGTGGGAGGAACCAACTCCATTTACAGCCCTGGCTCCCCTGTTCCCTCGCTTTTGTTTCTATTGTTATAGAGAGGCCCATGAGGACAGAGACATTCCTGTCCATGGGCCATGCTTCTTCAGCCTCCTTTGCTGATATATGTGAGCTGGTATTTGGCAATGGTTTTGCTTTAGAGGAGACATAAAACATCTGTCAACTTTGTTTTGGGATTTGCCCCCGATGCTAGCCTGAACTTGATTTCATGGGCCATCTCCTGAACTCGTCTCACTGTTCAGGACTTGGAGCCTCCAGGATGACTGTTTTCTGTCCCTGGAATCATGGCCCTCAACTTATAAATCTACAACAAAGAATCGTAGGGAAATAAAAGGTAAGTAAAACCTGAAAAACTAAATTCCAACTGATGGCAAGTGGTCTAGGATTTCAATTTTCACATGTGATATTTTCTGTTTTTTTTAGTCACCAAAAATGTTTCTGCAAGATAGTAGAGAGTCTATGGGATTGTAATACAGTTTATTGTATGAAGGATTCAATGATTCCCAGATATTTCAAAAGAACCAAAGATTGTTAGGATTATCAATTACTGATATGATTATGGAACTCAATTTCTAAATTAGGCCTGGGGTGAGTTTCAGTGTCCTCACAAGTAAAATGGGGAAAATAATTTTTATTTAGTGTGATTGGTGCATACAAAACGCTTAGCACTATGCCTGAACACACACACACACACACACACACACACTGTTTTATTCCACTTTCAGGTCTTAACTACTTAAACCTTCTATTCAGAAAGCCCCTTTATCTGTATATCTAGCCCTTATCTCTGGCCTAATATCCAGTATCTTACCAACCAGCTCTTACTTATATTCCTATTTAATTGTCCTTTAAATGGTCATATGTTTCTTTGGCCTAATGACTGTGTCGTTTGAAGGGAACCCATTACGATGGTGATTTTAGAATTCACAAAATCATGTAACTTTAGAACTTGATTTAAAAGATGAGAACTGTGAGGTCTATAGAATTGAGGTAATTTCCCCCATATCTTGCACTTTCAAATCTATTTCTGGGTTGTCAGTATTGTCTTTTATACATATAACAGAGCTCTTTGGAGCTAGGAGAGACTGGTCAAAGCTCAGGATTCAGATTGAGAAGTGAGTATGTTTGTAGGTAGAAGAGGACTTCATAGTGATAAGATGGTTATAATTTGTGTGAGCTTGTTCAAGTTACTTAACTAATTCATTTCTAAAATAATATACACCCTACTTACTTCCCAGGATCTGTGAGATCTAAATTATAGAGAACGTTGTGAGAAAATAGTTTGTAAAATGGGCAAATATTAAGCTACAAATAGTGGCTTGAGATCCTCCAGTTTTCAAAGTAATAAGCTCTCAAGATCAGTAGTCGCCAACCAGTGGTCCATGAGCACCGCTGCTCTAGACAGTCCAAATATGAAATAAATTTTATTCCTTTTAAAGAATATTCTCAGAACATTATTTTACTTATAGCAAAGAAAACTAAAATTAATTGTTATATTTTTAATGGGTTAGGAGTTGAATGTATTTGACTTGGAACCTTTCATCATTCTCTATGACTCTCAAAATGAGAGAATTGTTAAACTTTCCTACTCTTTTATGAAAAAGGAATTCACATGTCTGTTTGATATAAAAATCTAAAGTCCTTTTTGTTTGGTATAAAAATCTACAAAGTCTTTTTTCCTCCCAGCCCCTGAAATTAGGCTTATCATGGCTCAGCAGATTTTTTGGCTGATTTTAGTTAAATATTTTTTCCAGTTAGTTTTGCAGTGAATTCCAGTGATATGGACCCAGCAAGTCAAGGGTAGGACCTCTCCAAGTTGTCTGGAGGGAGGTTTGGAAATCCCTTACCTACTGTAGCCAACTACACACCATGTTCCTTCTTTGGGACTTATGGTTTAATTTTCTTTCATATTCTCACTTTATTTAAAAGGCTGGAAGATTATAGGTGGCCAGTCAGCATCTTAATTAAGGTGAGGGGAGGGGAATTGTGAATTGAATATAGGCTTCCTATTGGCTTTTGAGGAAAAGATCCCATGAATGATCACTCGGTCTCTGTTTTCAGATCAGACTCCGACCCCAACGAGATTCCTGAAGAACTGCGAGGAAGTGGGACTCTTCAATGAGCTGGATTGCTCTCTAGAGCATGAGTTCAGGAAGGCTCAGGAGGAGGAGAGCAGTAAGCGGGTAGGTTTGCTGGGATGGATGCCTCGAGAGGTGCTTCCTCCAGCACCTGGTGGAAACTCTTGGTGGAAATGGATGGCACTGCAAGTTGATTCGCCCTTAAACAGTATTTTATCCATTTGCAAATGTCCATTTAATGTGTTTTTTGTTTGTTTGTTTTTTTAAAAAAGGATGAATCTCTGATTGTGATAGAATCTGAAGCTAGAAAAATCATGGGAAAAAACTGGTATATGAAATACTAAATTCAAGCAACGAAACAAAACAAAACAACACAAAAAACACAAACACACCCACACACACAAACAAAACAATACAAAACACCAAAACCTTTAAGACAACACACTACCTGATTCTTGAATCTGAGTTTGATAAACTCACAGACTTTTTCTGTTCAAAACTAGTTGTTTTCCTAAATATTTAATAGCAAGCCTTACAAGAGTCAAGAGACAACAGGTGAAAAATTATAGCAGTATTAGAGGAGGTTTGTCTAATTTTTGATCCAGGTTTTAACTTTGATGTCCATAATCTGTCCAATAGATCTCTACCATGTTCACAGTTACTTCCTAGTTATATTATAAAACATCTGTTGCTATTGAGATAAATAGATTAACTGAAGGTATGGAAAGTATAGAAAAATCCACTTTATGAATCCCTCCAGAACACATTCCATTTTATTGTAATGTTGTGCTGGCATTTTCAAACCACTTTATAAGATTAAAGAAAGGAAATGAAGTCATAAATAAGTGTGATAATGAAGCATTTTAGTATTTTTTTTCATTGTTTTTATAGAGCATTATTGAGTGCCCAAAATGTATGAAACCAAAAATTAGACACATTCCATGAACAATCTTAAAATGTGAAAGTTGGTTGGCAGGAAGGACTAGCTAGGTTGTAATGGATTCTGAAGTTCCAGCTGTTCCATCCGGAGAAGAAATTTTAAAAGGCTCTGATGTTTCCCTAAGTGTTTCAAAACCTTTGAATCCTCATCTATGTGAAATTTTAATAATCCTTCTTCACCAGGTTTTTCATGTCACGTTCTCACATCAAAATAGTCAAAGGCTTGTATTCAGCCCATACTGTTTTAGAAAAAACAAAACAAAACAAAACAGGAGAATAGGTAAAGGTTACAATAAGAGGGATATAAAATCTCTGTCAACTCATTTTATTTGATTATGATTAATTTGTCATTCATACTTGATGCCCTATTCCTACCACCTCAGTGATAGGAAGGAATTTTTTTCTTTTTCTAAGCAAACACTTATTTAGCATTTATTTGCCAGACAATGTTTTAAGCACTTAAAAAAATTAACACAATGAAAATAAAAGGCTCATTTTCTATATTTCATTGCATTAGAAACAGATTTCTTAAAAAAAATTAAAAAGCGAGAGAGAAGAGCCCCAAACCAAACACTTGAATAGATTTCCCTTGTTGAGTAGTAAATTTAGCTCTCCTTCTAGGCATGGTATATGTAAAAGACTAAGTTAATTAATTCTTCAATCTATTCCAAGGTTGGAGTTTTAGATTATACTGAACTATATGAACCGTATGTACTTGATTCAACTGTCTTCAGAGTGGCTTTAACTGAAGTGGATGCCTTAGATTTTTCCTAAAGACATTTACCAAGGACAGCTTTAGGAAGCCCATGGTAGGGCTGTGATTTTAGGTGGTCTCCATTATATAGCCCTCATGATCTCCTATATGAAGTCCCGTGGGAGGAAATTCTTGCAGATCTGAATTCCAGGAAATAGTTTGCTTCCCCTGAGGAACTGAAATATTTTTTTCTCATGAACCTGAGAATCATGTAACTGGTTCTGTTTCTCTTTTCGCTTTGACTGCTCGGTTAACATAAGCCAAACTTACTGCTTACCTTTGAGAACTTGGTAGAACACAGTTATGAGGGCATTTTACTTCCTCCCAGACTAGACTTTCAATTCCAGTTTACATTTCCTCTGGTCCAGATTTTTAATTTAAGAAACATTTTCATGCTATACCTTTTATTATGAGTTGAAAAAGAGTGTAAATAATTCAACTTTAAAAAATAAGATAATTAGAAAAGCAAAGTTGAAAAAGAGGACTAGCATAGTTTTATTTTCTTCTTTAAATGTTGCTCTTAGCCATGTGATAATTTATTGATGGTTATCTAGTGGTGGGGATCCTACAGTCAGATTTCCCCATGGTTTGGAGGTAGACCTCTCAGCAGGTCACTATCTCATACCCTCACATCACTTGCACACCCTGGAAGGTGGAGAACATTAAAGCTGTTGAGGTATCCTCTTCCCTTTGTTCAAGCCAGATGAGCCAAATCCAACCTTGAGTACCCATGGCCTGTGGACTGAGGGGTCTCAGGTTCAGTTCTGGTCAGGGGCACATACCTCTTTTGCAGGCTTGACCCGCTGGCCCCAATTAGGGTGCATGTAGGAGGCAACCAATCATTATGTCTCTCTCACATCAATGTTTCTTTTTCTGTCTCTTCCCCTCTTTTTCACTTTCTTTAAGAAAACCAATGGAAAGAATGTCCTCAGGTGAGGATTATTTTTTTAAAAAATTAAGCTTGCCTCTGGCTTACAAATCAGGCTTAGTCCATGTCCTAAAACAGATGAGAAATTATTATTCATTATTTATTCATTCAAGACAAATTTTCAAGTGCCCACCACTTGGCAGGCACTGTCCAAGGCATTGGTGAATATACTACTGACTAAAGCTGGTAATAAGAAAATAAAACAACTTTGCATTCATGTAACTTACTTCTAGTGGGCAAGACATACAAGAAGCAAGTAAAGACAATAAAATGTGTAACTAGTGCTAAGGAGAAAAATATGGCAGGGAAATGGCACAGGGTGGTCAGGGAGAGCGTGGCTGGTGATTGGACATGAGGTAGAGACCTGAAGGAAGGAGGAGAAGCCCTGAACCAGGTATGTGTTGGGAAGAAGAGTGTTACAAGGGAGAACCAATAAGTACAAAGCCCTGGGGCTAGAGAATGCTCAGTGGGTTGGAGGAGAGTGTATACTAGTAATAATGCAAAAGAGTGGCTGTGGGAGGGCAGATCCAGGAAGCCCTGACGACTTTGGCTTTTACTCTGAGTGAGATGGAGAACCATAGAATGGTTTTGAGCGGAAGAGCGATAAGATTTGATTTATATATTAGAAACATTACCTTGGGTGCTAAGTTGAAAGTAAACTGTTGGAAGGCACCAGCAACCAGTTAGGAGAAAGCCCAGTTAGGAGTGTACTGAAAGAGTCTAGATTAAAGATGGTCAGCATACTAGTCAAGATGGAGATGGAGAGGTGGTTAGATTCTGGTTTTCCAAAGAGGGAGTCACTAGGATTGGTCGATGTGTTAGATCTGAGGAGTAGCAGAAATAATGGAATCAAGCACAAATTTGGGTTTTTAGCTGAAGCAACTAGAAGAATGGAGTTGCCTGGGAGATGAGCAGGTATGATGGGAAGATGGAGAGGATTATTTTAAATGGAGAAGATGAATCTACAGGTGGATATATAGGTCTAATTAAGGAGGAGGCCACCTGTCTGGAGATGTAAATCTGGGAGTCATTTGCAGACTGGTGGTGTTTAAACACATGAGACTAGCTGTATCACCTGGGCCAGGAGTGAACGAAAATGAAGTAAGGAAAAGGTCGGAATATGGAACTTGGCAGAGCCCTCCAGAATCTTCCAATACAAGGCATTTAACTCTCCTCAGTGGCCAGCAATGACACAGAAGATCATGAGGCATGAAAATTCAATTCAAGTATGGGAACCCTTTCAGTAATACTGAATGGAGACCAACAACTGGCAGTTGAAAGGCTGATTTTGTATTCCATATTAGAGGGTATAAAAGATTATTTTAAAAAGAAAAAGAAAGAAAGAAAGAAAGAAAGAAAGAGAAGAGTGAATTAACCTTTTACATTTGATTTCTTTTTTTTTATTAAGATAGACTAATGCAAATCTAGAAAGCCAGAGAAAATTTGCCATCTGATAACAGTTTTGTGCAAGTGTATTTGTGTGCGTTTGTAAGAAAGGAAAGGGAGTTGAAAGGACTAGAAATTAACTCCTTTGTCTTCCTGTGAGAGATCTAACATCCCAGCCCAATGTGGTTAAAGACCCTGAAGATGAAAAGTGCTGGTATAAGTGCTAAGTGTTGTTATTCTCCCATAGGACCTAAATTTGACTCATTATGCTGATGCAGCAATAGCAAATTAGGACATTTTCATGCGCTAGAATTCCTACCCAAATGATGAAAAGTGCAGTGTATTCCCAGAGGGTGTTGACTGTTTAACACATGGGAACAAGGGACAAGCTACAATCTTAAGATCTTGCATCCCAGCTCAACAGGAGTCACAGAACAGGGCAAGGCCAGGTCAGTCTCAGCTCAGAACAGTGGGCTGCTCAATCTGATTAAATTCTGTACCTGGAAATCATGTTACCCGACACCACTAGCTCTTGGGGGAGAGAGGATGCAGGGAGGAGCTTTGCTTTGCTTTCCTAAAGGGTCTTGTTCTATCAGCCACTAGCTGGCCCAGCTGCTCTCTGGGGAAGGTGTAAGTGGCGCTGGATGGGAAAGAAAAGATACAGAATTGAGCAGACTTGCAACAGCTGCATGTTTCCGGTTGTGTTATGTTTTCTATGATATTTGTGTAAAACTATCCCCCGTCCCTCAGAAGTCTGGAGGAAGGAATATCCTGAAACTTAAACTTGGTTTTATCCGGGTATTTAAAATGTCACCATGCTTGTTAAATTGCACTGGATGAGACTGTTTTTGATCTTTTCAGATTTTTTGTTGTTTTTTTTTTTATCAGCATCATTGAAAAGGAAATACCTACTGGCATTATTATAAGAGACAACCTATTTTTCCTTCTCCCCAAATAACTGGAAATCCTAACCCGTATAAGGATTTTTTGCTTCCAATTTTAGTACACTACAACTTTCTCCTTATAGGTTTAAAATATGCCCTCAACTTAGGTGGAATTTGACACTGGAAAAGAGAAATTGACTTGGTCTTCATATCT